AGTTGATGATACTGTTGTATTTGCTGGACGTATACGTGAGGCTAAAAAAAAGAAAAGGCAGTCAAGTAACGGAGGGAGATTTGGAGAAGGATTGAGAATAAGCAAGCTGAATATTAATACTTATACATCGGATGATACAGAAGATTGGGTAGAGGTGAAGATTATTCAAGGTTCTAGTCATGCATTTTTACAGATGCCAGCATTATTACCAGAGAACGCAGGTGCAATCAGATCCTGCGCTTTATGGTTACAAAAGTGTTGCCAGGATAAATCACAGAGCGATATAAATACAAACAGTATAGAACTTATTCATGAAGACGAAGGTTTAACATTTACTCCACGTCGTTCAAAAACTAGTAGTATTACCCATTCACAGGAGAATGAAAATAAAAATTTTATTTTACAAGATTCGGACTATGTCCAAGAACCCATCTCAATAGATCATTTACACGTTTCACGTTCACTTCCGAATATATCAAATGATAACATACAAAAATCAACAACTACCACTGTTATAGCACCTGGGCACGAAATTTGGGAACAAAATAATATATTGAATGAAAATGAAGTTTTAAAAAGACGACGAGATACATTGGTTAGAAATTTAGCGGAAGGGTGTAATGCAACTACCATAATTGAACATTCTACATTGGAAAAAGTGACGAAATAAAATATTTTAAGATATTATTAAATAATTTTGGCATATATTTGATTTATTCCATTTACTTTAGTTGGTATCTTTTAGTAAATAATAAACAATCGTTAATAATTGTTATTTGGTTAATACAATTTACAAAATTTGGGGTTTATGATCAATATGTATTAATATATTTACAATAAATGATTTGGTTCTAAATTTTTGTTTTACAAATAACTTATAATTTACTTTATACATTTTTATATAAAAGCATCGCTTGATAAATTCACAAAAAATAAAATTCTATAAATTTTTTAATAATATAAATTTTTTATTTTCGGTTTACTATTTCAAAATTTACAATATAAGTCAATTTTAATACTCTTACAAATCCTTTTCTTTAAATTGTCTATTATATAACATTTCCAATTGTCTTTGTCGTCCTTCTTGTAATAACTTTTCTTTCAATATTTTAGCATTAGGATTCTCGATAATAACCATATCTTCCAACTCAAGCGTAGCATTTAATGCATTTTCACGTGTTATTCCATCCTCTAACTCCAGCGTTGAATTTAATACATTTTTACGAGTTATTACATCCTCTAACTCCATCGTAGCATTTAATACATTTTTCCGAGTTATTCCATCCTCTAATTCCAGTGTGGAATTTATGTCATCTTCCAACCCCAGAGCAGTATTTAACACATTTTCATGA